CAAAGAAAGATCGTACAAAGCCTACGTATTTGTGCGATTAGTTCCGTACCACCGTTTTTTTTTCTTCTCTCATTCTGTTCACTACGAAATGTGGGACAGTCGATAAGTCTAGTCAAATAAGCTTAATGGCTGGATAGACAGGAAAGCTAAGTGGCTGGCTAGATAAGTCTAGTCTGGAAAGCTTAGTGGCTGGCAGCGCTTAGCGCTATACACTGCGTTTACCACATGCATGCACATGTTCTTGCACCAGTAGAAATAATAAAATCTCATATAAGAGTTCAGCAAAAAGCTTCAATCGATGGGCCTGCGTGAGAGTGCTACAACAAAGGCCTGGTTAATCGGACATTTTTTTTCTTTTTTGAACAAAAAATGACCACTGCCTGCCGTCAGTCACTAACAATGCCACATAATCGCTGAGGACAATGTAAAAACATGAAATTTGCATTGACATTATACTACATGATATATAAAGCATGCGTTCTGAGTTAATTTGCAACGTCTTGACTTTTGAAAGCGTTCTTTAATCTAGGCATAACGTTGCGCATGGTAACTCTGTTTTAAGTACAGTTTAAGTAACGTGTCACAGTTAATGTGATAGTAATATTTCCATGTAGTGGTACCACGGCCATATGAACGCAACTAACACCTGTTTGCACAAACGCTTCTCGACTCGACTTTCACCCTTCACTTGACAGAGTTGAGCACTGCGCCGCTGCTCGGCTGAAGATGCCGCCGCGCTACTCAAGAATAGCAGCAGATTATCACTGATATGCAGTGACTTACCCTGACTAAAGATGGCACTCCCATCGGCTTTCTCAAGTGAAGGTGGAGCGTTGAGTTAAGGGGCGTTCTAGAATACGGGGGTAAGGCTCCTCGCATGATAGATAAACTACAGTGCCGTAGTTGTACACCTCCTTACAGCGCGCAAGTGCATAACCTAAATCCCCTTTTTCTTTTACAACCCAGTCGCTATAAAATGCTGCACTCACACAATGTTTAATAGTCATGTTTGGTAGGATGCCAAAAGCATTTTGCGATGTGCTTGAAACAGAAAGCGGCGCCCATTCTGAAAATATTCTGGTAAATGAAGGGTATGATGACAATCAACAGCACTCTGGAAAGTTATTACAATGCATTAGCAGCCGAGCAAGTCTAAATGCTTTCGTACGTCATTTGAGGCATACGTAAAAACAGTTACACTCACGCTGACATCACCAGACAAACCACACATAGGGAACGTGCATGACGTACGCGCACATAGAAAAATGACGGGGCTAGCAGACGACGCAAGTGGCAATACACACTTCACCGTTTCGGCCAGTTGCCGCCAGGCAGCGACTCTGCTCGATCGCGTGGCCAATCCCCGGCTCGTGCCACTTCCCTATCCAAAAAGCTATGTCACGCTCATAACACGCACGATGCTCGTAGCGGCTCGAGAGCAGAGAGGCGGGAAAGGAGGTTGCACGGCGCGGTGCAGCGGCTCGGTTAAAAGATTGGTGGTACTTTCCTGAAAATATCCAGGTACTTTACAGTGGAGTGCACTGCTGCGCTACGTGTTGAACACGGTTGAAGCTAGTGCCGGTTGAGCAGAGGCTTTGCCAAGAGAACGCTTTGCCAGGAGAACGCTGGTGCGCTGAGCACGCTCGTGTTGAACACGGTTGAAGCTAGTGCCGGTCGAGCAGAGGCTTTGCTAGGAGAACGTTTTGCCAGGAGAACGCTGGTGCGCTGAGCACGCTCCGCTGAGAAGGTGAAAGGAGCGGACAAGTGGCTTGCTCCGTGATATTGCTGGCTCACTCAACCTTCCGCGCATGCGCAGTCCGAGTTGCGCTCGCTCGCTGGGCCCCCTGGCCTACTGAGCCACTCCAGCTACCTTAAAGACGATAGTCTTTCTTGGGGACCTCCGACGCAAAAATTTTGGTCTGTCTGTCTGTCTGTCTGTCTGTCTGTCTGTCTGTCTGTGCATTTGTCTGTTTGTCCACTCTTAACGGCACCTGGAACTTGAAACGACCAACCCCATTCGCAGCGCCCACCAATGTTGCTCAAGGTTTAGCGTTCATACTTGTGCAATTGTCAATTAATAATCAAATATCGCGCAAGTCTGGGGCACCATAACAACACGTATATATTCTTCATGTGGATCTTTTACTAGAAAATGCATACATAAGTAATTTTAAGGACCATAGCACTTGGCACGCTACGCTGACCATGCAACGGTTACCCGAAAAGGTGAGCGTTTCCAGCGCTTCGCTAAAACGCGAAGCTGGTGGCACCTACCCATCGCCTTGCGTTCTACAACTTATCACCTCCGAGAGGAGCGCGCAGGGCGCGCGCGCCCTGTTTTCCAATATAACTGCCAGATAGCGCTCATGTATCACGTGTGGCGTAACTTGGTGCGCTAGTTCGCCTCCACTGCATGCCCGAGGCACTCAAACACAGCGCCTCTAGAATACCATTCACCGATTTTCTAGCACAGAACATCAAATAAACGTTTTGTTCAATCTCTCCAGACGCAAGACTATCGTCTTTCGACGAAATTTTCAGATTAACATGCGGATACAGGGCCAATTTTTCCTCAAATGATCACCCTACTAGACGACCAGCAGGAGCGAAAATATCAGAAGGTATTGTACAGTGCTACCGAGTAGGATGTGCGTGCCTTCCTGTCGTGATGACCAGAAGACGTGCACTATTACTTTATAAATATTTATCCACGCAATCTACGTTTCACGTTTATTTCACGCGTATAGTACATGCTTGTGTGTATACATCAAAGCGACGCAGAAAACTAATTGAGAAAAATATTTTCCGACGTGGGCCTCTAACTCCACACCACGCGGCTTTAGACGAATCGGCCACGAAAGCACTTTTCCTAAGCTAACGGTGAGCAATTTATACGAACCATTTACCACTGCAGGCACGTCGATCTCAGGGGTATTTCAGCGTGATATCTGCATTACTGGTGAGTTAGAGCGACGGGCGTGCTTTAGAGGTATATGCACCGCGCCAGATGTGACGCGTTCTCTTGTATACCACGTCTACTTTAGAAAAAAAGCGTGGTCGCCCGTACGTGCGAACTTATCTCGTGGTTGGGGCGGTTTGTACATGTTTTGCTTTCACCGGAAAGCTTGCATATAAGCTACAGAGTGCAGGCACATCTCTTCGCGCGTTGCAGCGGATTCATTTGCGAAATGAGCCCGCTGTACAAACACAACGAAGTAACCACATTCATAGCTGATAGTTCGCACTCTTCCTTTGTATACCTAAGCGCGTGTTTCGTGGGTCCTTCTTTATGTTTGAATAGAGAGTTTAAGAGTCCAGTTGGGAATGACGTTAGTTCGAAATAGTCCTGTGTGTGGTCACACGTGTTCTTCTTTGCGTTTGAGGAGCCGTTCTCTACTTGACAATTCAATTTATTGCTATCGAATTCACTGTTCGCCTTTGCGGCTACACAGTGAATGCACTAGAGCCATTTCTCTGATTCCGCTGTCACCGTCTGCAACTACAGCTATAACAAGCGTCTATAAGCACAGTTTTATAGCTTTAAAACGTCGAGAGGCATTGTGCAAGCTTTCTGAAACCATTGTACAGTAAACATTCGACTATTTCAGTAAAGTCAACTCGAACTTTCCACGTATACATATTTCAATGACAGAGAGATGAACCGTTCTTTGTTGTAATCCTGCGGTCATCATGGGTTAATATATGAAAACACAACAAAGCTTTTCATTGATATAAAAGCTTTGTTTAGTAGAGGCAGTCATCTCGGGGAAACGTGCTGCCGCTTGTGAATATACCATAAACAGGCATGCGCCGAGGGCATTGGGTAAGTCCCACTAATCTACACCGGTCCACTAAAAGTCAAGGCAACAGTTCGCCCAACAAACGGGTACATGCCGCGAAAAATCTTTGTGACCTAACTGAAAATTATCATAATCATAACAGTGCAAGTGCTCCAGCACTTGATTATAACCCATTACACACAACTTCAGTTGGAGACGAAGAAATATGGCAACAGTTAGCCTAACAATGAAAGCTGTTGCTTTATTTCATTAGGTATTGCTTAGAAGAAAGAGAGATATATTTGTTTCTTTTTGTTCTTGATATACGTACCCATCAGATCAAGCACTATAGTTTTCTACGTAATCAATATTCTTTCTTTTCTAAACGTTTCCTTTCTTTAAAACTTCGTAATGTTTATAAAAAATCACCTGATTCCGGGCCAAACTTCCACAGTGGGAGTGTGCTACAGCTAATAGGTAAACAAGAAGAAGAACCAACGAATGGCGTGTAATTCTCACGTGGTACTTTCGGGTTATAAAAATTGGTGGCGGTACTACCCGCTCAAAGGTTAGAAAACATTGTTAAATAGAGAGAAGTGATAAACCACCTTGGCTAAGCTTAAGCGAAGGGGTCTCTTAGAAGCTGTGTAAAGTGGTATGGTCAAGATACAACAGACCTATAGGCTATAGCTCTTGACAGTCATGACGTGGGAGCCTGCCGATGCGTGCTAAATTGCGCATTGCTCAACGTCAATAAATTTTCGCGCCCACCCAGACCACCACTTCTAAGCTTATTAAATAGTGCTTATTAAAGTTCAATGACACAACATATCTGAAAGACTTGAAAAAACAAATGCGTTTTAGAAGAGAACGCCCTAATTCACTGTATGATTGGTGTACGCGAAGCGGGCCTGGTTGTATTTTTTAGAATCAGGTTTCAAATTTTACTCATATAGGAGTTCGGTGTCAGCGTACTGTTTGAATTCTGGAGCCAAATAATTTCAGAAATGACAGATACATAACATATGGGAAAGGTCTTTCAAGTGGGAGCGTTAGCTGACATTTTGTACAAGCAGGCGTTCGTTAATTATCAAAGCGTACGCATAGTAGGAAAGATCCTTACCGGCCTCAGGGGACAAGCAGAAGGAGAAGAAGAAGAAGAAGCCATCGTCTTCGTGCCCTGTCTTCTGTATTATGAAGAAAGCGTTTGCAAGTTCCGCTATGCATGCGACTGAACATTGCCTGCAGAAGATCTTTCACCAGCAGCGCAAGATACTCCCCTTGAAAACTGCCTTCAGCCTCGACAAGTACGTGAGTGATGTCTTGGAGTACGTCCACAGCTACGAGTACACCCACTCCTATGTGAAGCCGTCGAGGCTACTGCACGGATTTAGCAAAGGCAATGAAAACCACCTATACCTGGTAGACGCTGCCATTTTCCGTGTACCGACAAGTCGAACCAGCCATCAGAAGTGCAAAGAAGATCTCAGGAAGGCGAACGACGGTACCACTGTGTTCGCAACTCGGGAAGCTCGCACTAGTGCCCGCCCACGAAATGGTACCGTTGAGCTCCTGGGACGCATGCTGTTCCAGTGGCTTTGTTGTCGACAGTCGCGGGAGGACGACTTCAAGAGTCGCAAGTTCCTAGGCCAAGAGAAGAGCCCACTGATTGAAGAAGTCCGCCATCTCATGAGCAAATGGATCCCAAACGAGACCATGCCATGTAGCATCAATGTTTCTGCACTTCGCGGCTACAGAGCTTTGCCAGGTGCTGCTACAGATGCGGCTGAACAGGACCTGCAGAAAATACTTGACCAGCAGGGCAAGACACTTCCCTTGAAAACTGCCTTCAGCATTGACACAAGCGTGAGTGATGGCTTGAAGTACGTCCGCAGCTACAAGTCCACCCACGACACCCCGATGTGAAGCCATCAAGTCTGTTTCATTTATTTATTAAACACAATAAAAGCGAGATATACCTGGTTGATTCTAGTATTTCAATGTACCGACAGGCCAAACCAAATATAAGGAGTCTGAGAAAGGTTTCATGAATGCGCACGACGGCAGAATTGATTTCGCGAGTCAGATATTCTGCACTGGTGCCCGTCCACAATGAGGTATTGTGAAAGTCCTGGCATATAACGTGCCCCAGTGGCTTTGAAGGCAACTGCCTCAGGATGACAACCTCATACACGGATTAAGTCAGATAAGGCAATAGCCCTATAAGAAAAAATGTGCGTCATGAACAAATGCTTACCACACGGGAACATTCCTTGCGGCATCAAGTTCCTGTAGTACAAGACCACTATGTTATTTGTAGGCCCGCCATGCTACCGACAGCTGAAGAGGATCGTAAAGAAGGCCATCCGGGTGGCGTGTTTCAAGCCAGCACATATACTCTCTATACGCTAATAATCATTTCACGTTGCTACTTCTTCTCGCCAAAGACGCTGGTGCTGTGACATATTGTTCTTGCCGAGGACAGTAGGATCTAAAACACTTATTGACTTGGTAGTATAGAGGGACTCTTGAAACAGGCCTTTAATAGTTCTTGCTGCCTCGTTTCTGTATTGCCAAATGTCGTGCGGCTTCTTTGCATGTGCGTTATGTCCCGATATATGTATTTCAGTCGTAATAAACTGAATTCGCTGATTAGCAATACGGAAGAAATTTGTTGCCTTCTTTTGCTGCTAGCGTTTCTTTAGTGTCTTCGTCACAGCATCTGTCAAAAGTTTTGACTTTTGATCGTGAGGAAGTCACGCAATGCAAACTGCACCAGTGATAGTGCGCAAAAAAACATGACGAAAGTGTGTTCGAATTGCTAATAGCTAGATAGATTCGAATCGAGCAATGTCATAGTAAGGGTTCAAAACAGCCCTAGAAAATGAACAAAAAGCGCACATGCAAGGAGTGACTGACATACATTTCAATAACATTGCGCAACTTACTACTGTTTTTTTATTGAAATTTGTTTTTTTTAATCACTGAAGACAGACTCACACTATATGGACCGAAGAAAAGAAGAGCAGCGTTTGCGATGAGGAGAAAGATCGAGTGTTAACGTTAAAGAGTAACAGTTTCCGTCTCGGATTTTTATTTTTATTTGACGCAGCCCCACAAGACGTGGATACCAGTAGGAGGTTCTACCACAGCGGCCTGACAACCGTACGTCAAGTTATACAAGACAGAACATGAACAGCTGGTCCAACTCCAGGAATCAGCAGCGTCGGCAGTCCTTCGGAAGTTCCTCGCGAGCAAGACAAGTGCCTCTGAAGCGGATTACATGAATAGAGCTATGTGGAAAATATCAAGATGTCCGTCTATAAGGAAGACTTCAGACAGATAACACGGGACAAGCCGTTCCCAAGTGGCTCTAAGCAGCCCATTGCAGTGCTTAGGGAAAAGATGTTGCAAGTGCAGGGGTCACAAGTGAATTCGCTACACGGAGGATTGCTTTTTATGCTAACGGAGACTCTAAGCGCTAACACTCGTCTCAAGAGAAATTTACTAGAGCCAGACGTGTTCAATTGAACTTCCTCCTCTGTCACTTCTTGACTTAAATTCTTCGACTATGCTTTTGAGAAGAGTTGGATGATGCCACAAGGCAAAAAACTGAATATGAGGTTGTCTCTTACTTACATGCGAAGAAGTGCTATGAGCTCCGAGTATTAGACCATTGAGGGGATTCCTGGGATCGGTGGGAAGCAAGTTTTATCTCGGGTTTCGAACTAAACCATGTCGACCGGAGGGACAGGGCTATACCTTTCAAACAACACTCAGGCTACCTAATAAATTACTGCAACAAGAACAGGTGGTTGTTGCAATGAACAAACTTTGAACTGCCTTATTTATCCGTTGTGCCTTTTGTCGTCCGTGGTATGACGAAAAGTGCCAACAGCAAGTGCAAATAAGATACGGTGGAAGACCCGTTGGGTTTTCTTAAGGACGTTTCCTACGAAGCCTCTGGGCACACTGCAGATCAACCCTGGACCAATTCAGCGAGAAATATTGCGGATAATTTAGTGCCACTAGTGACAGCCAGCACAAGATGTACTGCTTAATACTGTCGGTCTAGTAACCCAAACATCCAGGAGACGAAAAAAATGCCAGGCCTGCACGGTAGGCGCAGTAGAGTCTTCGCGAAAGCGAGAAGAGCGGCCTATTAGAGCCTCGCTTGCTTGCTTGATCCTTTCTTGTGGCTCTTACCCACTAAAGGGATCGGGCCAAAAAGCCTGTGGGTCATGTAAGTCAATACCACAAGATTATCCAGGCTAGGGAAATACCAATACTTTGTTTCGACTTGGTGAGATTATTTTGGCAGAGCCTTTTCATTTTCACTCATTGGGTAACCGCTACAAGCACACTTGCTGGGTACCCACTACAGTAATAATAGGAATATTTTCTATGTAGTAGGCCCGCATTCGCAATGATATGCTTCGTCATTTTTCTGAGAAGCATAGTATACGCTGAACACGTGCAAGGAATTTGGGACCCATTGTTCACGCAGTGGCTGCCAACGAAGAGGAATTGTGCCTGAAGTGGGCGGGTATACGCCATTGTTCATAGATGATCAAAAGCAAGCTTTTGTTGTAGGATGCACCACTGGATGACCCACTCGTTATGCTATTTGCATTGTGTGACGAATGGTTGTTCTTTTGCTGTACCAAAACGTTTTACTACTCGTAATACCGCGATTCCTTTTCCTACATCAAGCCTGCCTACTTCAGGTCCAACATCAAGTCCAAACACTGGCGTGGCTCAGTGGTGGAGTTCGGAGCTGGCACGCAGTGGACCCGGGTTCAAGCGCCGCTGTGTTCTTGGTACTATGTTTTTTTTTCTTATTTCTGCGATAGTTGTTACGGACGCCAGCAGCTGCAGAGGTGGACAACTATGGCACCCCGCGCGATGCAAGGTTTGATTTCATAGCAGCTTCTGCTCTAAAACGAATAATATGGGTGCAAAGCCACAACCTTGTAACGAAAATGAGGCCGTCTACTTGATTCGGTCAAATGTTTTACAAACTTCACTGATAATAAATAAAGAAAAGTAGATACGTTAGTTCCCACTAGAGCTTCAGTAAGCCTGTAAATGAAATCATGGTTACGTCACAGTAGATGCGACAAGAAGGAATAATTTCGAACATTGCATACCTCGAAATAAGCTAATGTACGTTTGGCTGGGGAAGACTTCACGATAGAAGCGCGGGCCATGCGTGATGCCCAATTTTCAGTTCATACTGTCAAGACCTGACATTCAGACGCAGAGAATGAGCTTTTGTTGGAAAGATGAGCTGACTGTAATAATAATAATAATAATAATAATAATAATAATAATAATAATAATAATAATAATAATATGTTTGAGTACATAGAAAACATGAAGTCAGAGGGAATAGTGTGGATGGATGGATGGATGAATGGATATGGCTGTACCCTTTAGATAGGGCGGCGGCTAGCGCCACCAAGCCGTAATACTAATTGAACCAAAACTAGATTTATTTTTTTTCTTTTAAAAGTGAGTATGAGGATTCGTACTTTGCAGTGAAGGGTTTAATTTTCACTCGTGCCTTAATTTTAGCCACCAATCAGATAACCTCCTTCTAGTTAAGTCTACCAGCTTAAAGTCTATTTTGCCCTCCCGGTCCCTAAACCCTAGTGCTTTGAAAAACTCTGCGCCATCATCCTGAACTATAGGGTGAAGCCCTTTACAGAACATTATCAAGTGTTCGGCAGTTTCTTCTTCCTCTCCACACGCACTGCATACTGTGTCTACCCCTTCGGATTTGGTCCGATATGTCTTGGTTTGAAGAACTCCCGTCCTGGCCTCAAACAGTAGAGAACTACCCCGAGTATTATCATAGATTTTTTCCTTGACAATTTCCTGCTTAAAAGTTTGATAGATCTCTAGTGCGCACTTCTTAATCATGCCCATTCTCCACATGTCAGTCTCCATTTCCTTCACTTTCTTCTTAACTGATAGTTCTTTTTGGTTTGGTCACCTGCTGTTTTCTAAGTATTTACCAGTCAATTTCCTGGTTCACTTCCTCCATTTTGTATCGACATTCTTCATGTACAAGTAGCTGAAAACCTTCCTAAGCCAACGCTCTTCCCCATTTCTCTCAATCGCTTCTCAAACTTTATCTTGCTGTTAGCTTCTTGCCCTCAAATGATGTCCATCCCATATCACCTTGTACTCCCCGATTTGGTGTATTCCCGTGAGCTCCTAAAGCAAGCCTACCTATTCCACGTTGCTTAATTTCTAATCTTGCTTGAACTTTTGATCTCATGCACAAGACCGCATTGCCGAACGTCAGCCCAGAAACCATGACCCCTTTCCATATTCCTCTCACAACATCATACCTATTGTAATTCCACAATGCCCTATTTTTTATCACTGCTGCATTCCTGTTACCTTTAGTCGTCGCGTATATTTTGTGTTCCCTCAGGTACTCGGTCTTATTGTTTATCCATACGCCCAGATATTTGTATTTATCTGTTATCTCTAGCGTGACCCCCTGTATTATAAGCTCACTACCTTCGTTGTCATTGAAAATCATGACTGCTGATTTTTCCTTACTGAATCTCAAATCTAACCTATCTCCCTCATTACCGCAGATGTCCATCAATCTCTGCAAATCTTCCTTGTTGTTGGCCATTAGCACTATATCATCTGCGTACATTAATGCTGGTAGTGCCTGATCAATGAATTTTCCTTGTTTGGCTAAAGAGAGGTTGAAGCCCAGTCCACTTCCCTCTAATTTGGCCTCTAATTCTTGTAGGTACATCATGAATAATAAGGGTGACAGGGGACACCCCTGCCTAAGCCCCCGTTTTACCTCTGCAGGCTTGGATACCTGTTTTTTGCACTTTATAACTACCTTGTTACTTTTATAGATACCCTTTAAAAGATTAGTGACTACATGTTCC